ATATAGCTAACCTTTAGATCTACTTTCTTAGCCTTGCTAGTAGATCTATTAGTTAGGCTAATATCCTGCTGATAGCTGGTGCCCCACTAGGCCCTACCTGTCGCTAGTCTATAAGACTAGCTATTACTAGCTATAGCTTTAGCTCTTAGTTAGTTATTAAATCTATTACCTATTTAACTATGTTAAGTAGTAGTATAACTACTAGTTATAATACTATAGGTAATTAACCTTTTACTACTATTAAATTTATAATAAAAGGTAAATATACTAAATTACTATTAAGAGCTATTTAATTAGTTATCTTAAAGGTAACTAAATAAAGGTATTTACTTTACTAGCCTAGCTACTAATATCTACCTACTAGTAGATTTTTTTACTACTACTAGCCTACGCTAGACTAACCTATTTAGCTAGATCTACTACACCTTTAGCTACTACTATTAATAACCTTACTTTTTTTATTCTTCTTTATACTTATTTACCTCTATTACTTTATTTATTTTCTTATTAAGGTTACTACTACTAGAGCTATTATTAATTAAAGCTCTTAAATAATAATAATAATAAAGTTACTAGCTAGAGCCTTACTATAAGTATAGTACTAGATTCCCTTTAAGATCTATGCTTTTTTACTATATATATGCTAATAACTATAGCTAATAATATTACTACTAACTTTACTATTAAGACTTTATATCTTAGAATACCTTTTTCTACTATTTACTAGACTACTAGCCCTTATTACTTTTACCTTTAAAGACCTTATTACCTTTATTAACTTTATTAACTTTACTATTACTACTATTAATAATAACTATCTTATTATTACTATTTATACTTATAAGTAAATAGTCTATATTACTAGTAGTACTAACCCTCTTTACTACTATAAGATTTAACACTACTATTAATACCCTTTACTAAAGGATAATACTAATATAAAACTATAAGGATATACTTTACTACTAATATAAATAGGCAATAGATATATAAAACCCTTAGCTAGTAGTAAGATACTCTAAGCTACTGCTGCTAACACTATTACTAATGTACACCTAACTAGTGTACACCTAGTAGGCCTAATAACCTTATAAGTTATACGCCTAACTATACCTTTAAAAGCTACGTTAACTACACCCTAGATTTAGAAGAGGTTACCTACCTAGAGGTAAACCTATCTATTAGCGCCTTTAAGAACAAGAGGAGGAAATCTAGTCCCTTTAGTAACAAGTCTACTAGCTTTAAAATAGCCTACTGCTACTACTACCTTATAAAGCTATATAGTACTAAGGTTAAGATACCCTAGATAAAGATAATAAAGATAATAATACTACTAGTTATACTATAGAAATAGGTCTCTAGGATAATAATAATAGATCTATTTATATAAGAGATTATTACTATAACTTTAATAAATCTAATAGCTAGCTAGTAGCTAATAGCTAGCTAGTATCTAGCTAACTTACTTATAGTTAACTAGCATCTAGCTAACTTGCCTATAGCTAGCTAGCTTATAGTTAGCTAGTATCCTATAGCTAGCTAGTATATAACTATTAATACTACTAGCCTATATATAACGCTAACTAACCTATATATTAATAACCTATATATACGCCTAGCTAGCTAGCTTATAGTTAACTAGCCTAAAGTCTATATTTATACTTATATATGCTTACCTAGCTAACTTATAGTTAGTTAACCTATAGTTAGCCTATATATATACTTAACTAACTAGTGTACTAACCTAACTACGTAGCTAGTAATAATAACTAGGATTATAGTAGTAATAATAATAATAGTAACACTATTAAAGATAATACTTATAGATATAAGGACTTTAATAACTATAAAGATAGATATAGTAATAATAGATATAGTAATAATAGATATAGTAATAATTATAGTAATAATAATAATTATAATAAAGACTATTAACCTTTAACTATTAACCCTTAGGTATACCCTTTTTATAATAGCTATAATAGCCTTATAGAAGCCTAAGGTATATAGTTAACTGCCCTATTAGCTAGTAATATTAAATAATTACTATATAATAATTATTTCTATTATTAGGGGGGCACTTGTTATAGGACAATATAGCTAACCTTTAGATCTACTTTCTTAGCCTTACTAGTAGATCTATTAGTTAGGCTAATATCTTGCTAATAGCTAGTGCCCTACTAGGCCCTACCTGTTACTAGTCTATAAGACTAGCTATTACTAGCTATAACTCTAGCTCTTAGTTAGTTATTAAATCTATTACCTATTTAACTATATTACTTACTAGTAGAATATAAAGATAATATATTATAGTCTAATCTCTAGGTATATATTAATAAAGTACTATACTTTATAATTATTTATAAAAAAGGTATAATTAAGCTTTATTTTATTATATATTTAGTATAACTATAGAGGAAAATTATAGTATAGGCCTAAGAACTTCTTAGGTAAAAGTAGTAGCTTCTAGGCCTATAATTAAGAGCTAGCTTCTTATATAAGTATAGTAGGTGCCTATATAAATTTAATAGGTGTTTATATAGGCCTAGTGCCTATAGATATAGGTTTAGTGCTCTCTTATGTAGTTACTATACTTTTTTTTACTAGTGTTATAGTACTTTATTTAATAGCTATTATATTAGCTTAGAGGCTTAGGATAGTATTATATATTTTAAGTAAAGCCTTATATATAAAAGCTACTTTCTTTTACACTAAAGTAGATATATTACTAAGCTTACTTATTAGTTAGTTAAAGAGTCTAGATATATAAAAAGTTAGTACTACCTTTTAATAGGTATATAGTAACTTAATATAATTAATCTAGACTAAGGAAAAAAGGCTATTTATAGTAGTATATATCTTATATATATAAGGTTAAATAGGGGCACTAAGCAAGTGTTAACTAAATACACTTACTTTACTAGCCTTATGTATTATAGTAAGTAAAGCCTTACTATACTTACTATAGCTCTAGCCTATAATAGATAATAACAAGAAAGACTATACTTATATATTACTAGTAGTAATAATAATAAAGATACCCTTGTATATAGTAATATAAGAGCTAATAACTAGACCTTTATTTAAAGTAAACTAAGGCTAAGGAGTACTAAAAGAGAAAAATATAACGTTAACACTGTCTTTAATAGCCTAGTCTATAGCTACTAGTATATCTAAGTCCTAGCACCTAGTATTACCTTAATAAACCTTATATATAATAATATATATACCTAAGGCTATACTATATATAGTCTTAGCTACTTATTTAAAAGGCTAATATTTAGTATAATAGCACTAGTAGCTATAGAGGTATAATATATACTACTATACTTATTATTATCTCTTAGTAACTATATAACGTTAGCCTAGCTAAAGTTACTTTTATTCTCTTTAGTAGCCTTAGCTATAAAGCCCTTATAGAAGATCCTTATACTAATAATCTTTTTATTATAGTTACTTACTATAAAGTTTTAGCCTAGTTTATATACACCCTTTTAGTAAGCTAAAATAGGCAGTAACCCTTTATTAAAGAAGCTTATGCTCTTAGGCTAAATACCCCTATTAAGGATATTAATAATAAGATTAGATAGTTAGTTATTAGATAGTTAGTTATTAGATAGTTAGTTATTATATAGTTAGCTATTATATAGTTAGTTATTATATAGTTAGTTATTTTATAGTTAGCTATTATAATATACTTAGAAGTACTTAATATACTATATTTCAAATAATATATAGTTAATTTATTATTATTATTTATATAGTACTTAATAGTTTTAGCTAAATCTTAGTTTTTAAGTATATAAAATTTTAAGTAAAACATATAAATTATACTATACTATAAGTAAATATTAAGTAATATTATATATAATTAATTTACTAATTTTTTAATTATTTTTATTTTTTATTTTATATAGTTATATTATATATAAAATGCAATATAGATATAATATAATATAGAAACAAATACATGTATAGTCTTTCCTATACAATATAATATAAATATATGTATTGTATTTGTATTGTATTTTTGTATTGTATTGTATTTTGTATTTTTTTTCAACTCTCTGATTTTGGTGTAAGTAGGGGTTGCCAAAATGCAGGGGGTGCCAAAAAGTGGGTAGGTTGACTTACGTCTTGTTAGACGTAGTGAGGGGGAGAGAGAGTGTGTGTGTGTCGCTTGGCAATCATCTAGACATATAGATACAACACCTGGACACTGCCTATAACAGGTAGGTAGACTAAATCCCGTCGGAGAATTGATCCAGTCAATGAATACAAACTAGGTGGTTTTGTTCACTTTGCCTAGGCTGCCTCACAACGGCCAGGAAAAAAAACCTCGCCACCAGGTTAGTCCACCATCGAAATCACACACCACAACAAGACTCCAAGCCACGCCGGAACTGCAGCAGACGCAGGTAATTTAACAGACGAGAAAAGTCATTAAGGTGCAGGGCAAGGGTACTATAGAGCAAAATCGCTGTAATTTATCGTCTATTTCCTAAAGTTGTAGCAGATGTGAGGGGGAAGAATAGGTTACTAAGGGTGGCAGTAGGCCGCAGGGCATATATAGGGTTCTAGACTTTTTAGTGGTCACTGTAGTGGCGGGTTAAGGGATTAATAACCGTAAAGTTAGTTTAGGTGGCACTTATGTAATAGTTAGGGTAATCCTGTCTTATACGTATAAATAGTTATCTGTTATCTGTCGTTAAAACTTATATTAATCCTATAACTACTAGTATCTCTTACAGGGGACCCCAGGTAAATATCTGTCCTCTTATAGGTCTAATTTATCTATAAAGTGTATTAAGTGGAGAGATGTTTTACTAACTACTTTCTGTGACTTGGCTGGGGCATTCTGTTACATTTCACAGCCTAATACGGATACTTAACGAATCACAGATCGTTATACAATATTCGCTACAGTCCCTTAAGTTCACTTACGGCCATAAATATACCAGAGTTCACCCTAGGCTATTCCTGATTACTTCTCCATCCTAACTTTCTCTCTGCTTTCTTACCTTTCATTCGACCTTTGTGATATTCCGATTTCCTAAGCAGCAGGGCAACACCATCCATACACGAAAATGCGCTACATAGCCACTACACTCCTTGCTGTTAGCCTTCTTACAGGCAGTGCTTCAACAGGTTCGTTTACTTTATGTTGTTTCTATTTTAAGTCGTTTTCATGTTTATGTTTTCATGAACATAAAACGTTGTCACCAGCTTAACCTGCTAGAAGTCAAGTAGTTTCTAAGGCTAACCTTTGCCTTCCCTTCTAGCGCCACTCCCTCAGGACGAGATTGACCCCTCAAACCTTGGCAACATTCCAAGTGGCGGCCCTATCGTCACCTCCGGCAGCCAGATCCCTCATCGCAAGAGATCACCGCTCAACATCGACCTGCCCCCCTCGCACGAGGCCTCTACTGAGTCCACTCAACATAAGAGATCTCCTCTCAACATTGAGCTACCCCCCTTTGTTCCTGACGTCCCCTCTCACAGGAGATCACCGCTCAACATCGACCTGCCCCCCTTGCACAAGGTCTCTACTGAGTCCACTTAACATAAGAGATCTCCTCTTAACATTGATCTACCCCCCTTTGATCCCTCCGTCACCTCTCACAGGAGATCTCCAGCCCCTCCTAACAGGTCAGATGACCCCTTAGGCGATGGCGGCGAGGTCGGCGTCGGCAACCCCCCTCGCAAGAGATCACCGCTCAACATCGACGTACCCCCCTCGCACGAGGCCTCCACTGAGCCCACTCAACATTAACCGACATCTTCGCTAGGGCCAAGAAATCGCCAGTGGTAGCTATAGTCAATGCGCATCTACGTTGGTACACGAGTTCTAGTGACAACCTGGTGTCCTGGATGAGCTCGTTGCTGTTTGCACTTGTGTACATCTTCTATCTGCGCGCCAGCGCAAGAGACAGATTGGCTTTTGAAAACATTTCTGTGTGCATTGTGGACACTACCTGCTTTCCTCCTGGGGGTTTTCTCCAAGATCTAGACCTCATCTGGGCATATAAATCAAGCAACTCAGAGTTAGCGTTATTTGAGACTCTGCGATTGAAGAAACATTGATCTTTGTCCAGACATTTTTACTTTAGAGAGTATTTGTCACAACGTGCTCTAAAGATTAAGGACAACTGCGAAGTAGTCTTAGCTTAGGCACTCATCGACCAGGGCCTTTATGATCTGCTTCCTAAGCTTGAGATTTTTGCGCACTGGAAACCACAACGAACACTACAATGGGCAAATCTAGTTGTTGAACTTTGTGAGAAGTTTAATGCACAGGTTGTGGATCAACAAGAGGCCAGAAATGATTGACTAAAAGCGGTAATTAGTGTTAGAGAGCTCTTTAGGCATCACTAGAGAATACCTATAGCAATTAGCTTTATTACGCTTATGCCACATAGAAGTGATGTTACTAATATTGTTTCAATTTTTTAAGTCTAATTCCTTTACTGGTATGCTTTTGACACCTGAGAAACATCTAAAGCTGACATATGAAGATGCTAAGAGAAAGAACTGTTTACTACAAAGGACGAAATTTGGGCCATGCGAATTATTGCTAGAGGTACAAGAATGCCGTACTATAATGCGAAGTGTGTATAAGGACTACTTTATACGGATTCTTAGAGGAAAGTTTATATTCTTTACTTTTCTTTTTGTTGATGAAGACGGCAACCTGCTAATAGTGAACTCCGTAGGCCATACTGCGAATGCTGAGAACTCACTTCGCAGTGCTGTTGTCTTTAGAATGAAGGAACATTTAGAAGCACAAGATCTAGCGCCTTCAAATCAAGACTTAACCTTAGTCAACGCTAGGCTTAGTAGTGTTCTTAGGCAATTGAACACAATTATTCATCTTTGTTAATCATTAAGTAAGGACTTGGCGAGAGACAGCAGTTAAGGGATTGACACTTATTGAATTAGTATACGACTTCTATGTGGTTTAGAATATCAAGTGTTTAGATTAATGTATAGGTTCTCTTGGAATGTGGAATCAAATGGTTTTAGGAGCTAGACTACTCCCTTCTTACTGCTCCTTTCCTCAAGGGCTAATTCGTAGTATAGTCACGTGTAAAAAGTTTAGGCTCACTAGGTTTAAGTAGTACACTGTGCGGTGCGCCTAGACTTCTTACATATCACTGTATATTAGTCTATAGTGTATAACAACTTGAAAGATACTGGTTCTTCTTGTTATTATATAACCTTTATGAGTTTTGCTCTAATAATAAGTTATCTGCCTGATACTATATATTACTTAGCGTAAACACTATACTGTATAGAGTCACTGTCAGAAAGCTAGGAATAGCTTCGTCTGGCTAGTACATTGAGCAAAATCGGAGGCAATTAAGCACTTTGTAGACTATATTAGTGAGCGGATAGTGACAGGTTGCTATCCAAGCCGCCTACCGTGTTGGTGATGCACGCCCAGACTGCTCTGTGTTCTGGGTGCCGGCCATGAGAACAGCCTTGTGCGAGAACGCATATTGTGGAATCCATAACAGGGCTTAAGCCTGAGCCTTAACCAGCGACGAAGATAGAAGAAGATTAGTAGTATAAAATGTCTAAGAAGGCTAAGAAGAAGGCCTAGAAAGCAAAGAAGGTCGAAAGTCAGGAGAATGTTTGCTCCTGGAAGGAAACGCATCTTGCAGATGGTGGATAAGAGGATTGTTTCAGCTGCTAACAGTACGTTAGTAGCTTTGTGTTATTCTACCATCAGTAGAAAGAAAATATGTAATTGAGGATATAGGGCAGCGGTTTTCGTAGGACAGACTAGAGAACCAGCTTCTTTCCTTGGCGCCGCGACTTCTACTAGTAGAAGAAAGACGACCACTAAAGGGGGAGTTCACACCTCTTATTGATTTAGTTTTATTAGCCAGTCGTTAACAGAAAACTGCAGAAGCCCGCTTACGGGACTACAAAGAGCCAAGTGTATATGGCGGTCAGTTATTAGGCTGATAGCTCATACTGTGCATGGGAGCCTGATTATTTCGTGACAAACCTTTAAGATACAGCAGCCTCCGAGTACAGACGTTACTAAGGACCTTTACAATATTCTAGCTCAAAGGTACATGATTTATTGACCTTCTGTGGAGGAAAACTGGCGATCCTTCGGCCAGGAACAGCAGACAACATGCGTTGAGGCCGGTGCTATGAATACCGATGTGCTGAAAGATCCCACGGATCGCGCACTAGGAAACGTGTACAGGCTTATCCCGGAATGGAATTTGCGTGACTTGGCCGAGCTCGACTCCGACCATTTCCTGAATGCTGCGCCATCGGAGTCTGAAAGACTCGTATGCGCAGTTCCACAGTGATCTTAAAGATGGACCTGGAGATCTCGAGTTCCTTAAAGAGATAATGAGCACGGAAAACCTCCGCTTGACCTTGTCCTATGAGAACTGTTTGTCCTTTTCCACCAGCATAGAAGAACAGTAGATTGCATTGCAAAAGTATGCATATTGTCAAGATTGTTCGATTCGATTAAATATCTTAATCGGCCTGGAGCGACTGTTCAGTAAAAACCACTCCTGCTCAGTCAGGGTAGCTGAGTCGTTTCAAATCCTACTTGCTGACACACACGCTTTGCAGGCTATTTTGGACCGTAGACACCTCAACATTGTATATCACGAATGCACTGTCAACAGCACTTTACTTGCAGATTACCGGTCCGCTTGTTATCGAGGGCCATTCCAAGCCATTCCGAGCCCTCCTGCAACATGATGACATCTGTGGGGGCGTGCCCATCGAATAGTGTATCTCTCCATTCGTTCCCGACAAGGCTTCCCCGTGTGCAACCCTGCCTTTGCAGTCTATGTCCAATCGGATGATCTGCAAGTTTGTACTGTACAAAATAGGCGTCGCTCATGGAGAGCGGCCGAGAGAAGCGCCAGTCTTAGATGGGTAGGGACGGCGCCACCAGTCATTCCTTGACCTCACGCAGGAAGAAATCTTGGCAGTAAATATTAAAAATTCGTCACGGCGGCCAGAATGTCTAGCGGTGCTTGCTAGGCAAGCAAATGGGCGTGCTGCTTCCCGATTTTGATAGATAATCATCGCGGAAAGACTCACAGTGGTAAAATACGTGTTCAACCCTGCTCAACGCCGTGGCGTGGTCGTAATTTTTGGGAGACCGAGTACCGATTTAGGCAAGTATTCTTGGTGTGCCTTTACTGGAACTGAGTACAGATTTTAGTTCGGCCTAGTCCAGCGGACTGCGGTTCAGCCAGACCATCTGCAATGAACGGCTTGGCGCAATAATTGTGAGCTCAATCTTCTATCTACCGCTCTTCGTCCCTTGATATTCGAACGAAAGGGGCCAAACATCGTTGATCGAATCAATTACAAGGGGCACACGGCGAGGATATCGCCAAAGGGCCTCACAGTAGCAAAGGTTTTTTAGTGCGACAATCCGTTCTTCCATTTGTACCCCAACATCCCATTCCATGCGCACCACCTATTCATCCAGGCAGCAAGGGGGGATGTCGAAGGTAAATAAGGTGAACCAAGTCACTCGCTAACGACTGGCACTGTCGGTCCTCTATACTACTTGTTCACCCCCAACGCGTGGCTATGTTGGCGTGTCCTTCTCTGCCAACCTACTTGTTGTTCTTGCCTTAGGCCCGTTTCTTGCAAATAAGTGGGCAGTCCAGTGGTAAATACTGCCAACATCAAGTCTGGGATACAGCGAAGATCATCGGGGAGCTATGTAGCTAATTTTGCTGGTGTGTTCTTGCTACCCCTTACCTACCTGTTTATCCAAAAAGAGCGTCACAGACCAAAAGCTCAGTCCCTGTCTAGTGAACACCGAACAGTGGCCTACCATCTTCAGCGTTGTCTTGAGCGATGGATGACACCGAAGTTGACAGCAACAAGCCTCTGTTAGACATCGTCCATCATCGTCCCGGGTCCATTGTACCACGCCTCTTGAGCTATCGGGACGGCCGGCTGCCGCATCGAAAGTCTCGTGATATCCTCACTCAACTCGAATGCCTCGAGGTTCTTCCACGCCACCAGGTTTCCATTCAGAATGAATCTTCTTCCACCGTCGCGACGGGGAGGATCAGGCTGCGTCGGCGTCAGATAAACGCCTTCGTCGGAAGGAGCTATGCCGCCTTGTCGTCCACCTGGGACCCATCGGAGTACGAAATTGACGCCTCTGGACCTTGCTATGTTCGAAAGCACTTCACCTGGCATTTGAAGAGATCACATGTACGGGCAAGCATTTGGGTTTGCGTCATCCAATTCATGAACGCGTTCAACCGGAAACTCCTCTGGATCGACAACCATTGCATTCTAAAAAAAAACGTGCCAGGAGGTTTTGTGCGCGTGCGGGCGATGTGCACAGAAGCGAGATGCTCTTCATGCAATGGACCTTGTGTATAACCGGAGCAACTTTCCCGTCGCTTTGCTGGCAAGACCTGTTTCTTGTAACGATGAATTGTCATTGCTTGCCAGTATTCTGGCAGGTGATTTCCTTCGGGATAACCGGTCAAAAACCAATGCCCAGCGTGCGACGGCCCGGAAAGCGTTATTGTTGTTGAATTTGATCACAAATGACCGTTGGTGGACAAGAGCTTGAATGTATCAGGAGAACTATCGAGCTGAGACGAGAATGATGCTTCTCTTGCCACATGAACCAGCCTTGGAGGCATGCAAACGGTCTTTTTGCATATTTGGTACCATCGAGAATGAGCTGTACATCAAGTCTGTCGATTTCTATAAAGCGGCCACTCAACTCTGTATCAGAATCAGAAACATCGACCATACACAGGAAGAAGCACAGGCGATCGACAACATTCTTCAAAAGTGTAGAAAATACACAGTCCTTCTTGGGATAGACGCGTTCATGTTCCCTTCCATTATCAACGACCTCAGTCATCAAGTTATTAAGGAGCCTTGGGAACGCCTTGCCATCGCAGCCAACTGTTGCCAGTATTTCCGTCGCTTGGACACCAGGGTTTTACGTCAAAAATCGGCCAGTCTTAGCTTATCAATCCTGACTATGTGTCTTATCAATGGCGAAATCCTGGACAACAGCAACTCTAGCGCACCTTTGGACCCAAAGATGACCGTCTCTACGTATTTGGAAACTCAATGCCTACAGTCGTTTACCGCCCCTAAGCTGCAGCATAACCTCACTTATCGCAAAGGATGTCAGTTCATGCATGTAGAGCTTGGTGCACTCGGCATCAAGACGAGAGGGCATATATGGGAGCTGGGAAAGATTATCTATACGCGCAGATTCTCGATGCATCTCCCACGGCTGAGGTCTCGACATATGCGACTGTCACTTTACGAATGTCAAAGACTCGTGCAGCTGGTAAAGGTTCTGAGGACCCTCGGACATAGATCACTCGCCGAACTCATCAGTGAGTTTATATTTGGAGGGCAAAAGTTCGAGACGTTCGCTGAAAGCTACAAGCTGGATATGGCGAAGAAGATAGCGTTGGCTATCACAGACGGCAAAAAGCTAACGCTCGGAAGACTCTGGGCACGTGGAGCAGCGTCGTCTCCGTACACCACGATCTTCATTTAGGAATACGACGATGAGAATGCTGACTTGCAAAGAACAACCCGTTGCATTATGCCTCAGTTCGCCTTCACATTCTCCTGTCCTATGGAACAGGATACCGAAGAGCACAATTCAGATGACATAAATCGGCATGTTTGCCTTCTAGTCAGGACTCAGCTTAGGTAAACGGAACCGCAGTTGCCTCCCTCATCTCTATACCGCCCATGGCCTTCTCGGATGGTGTTTTTTCTTGGGTTGTCCAAGAATGGATCTAGCTCACCAAGTCCATCTTCCGCCTGTTGACAGCCGACAATGACGGGGTGAAGTTTGCTCGGTCGGCTTGGGCCCGGAAAGATAAGGTCCATGTCATTGAACTAGGCCATGTGGGCGGGCGGCACAGTAGCAACTCAACTTGCCCTGGGCATTGGTAATGTTGCGCCCGTTGACATGTTCATACTGCAGCTCCAACATAATTCTGGCGACAAGTGTTCAATACATGTCTTTTATTGATTTGTATGCCTGATTTGTCCATAGGCAGATTAGGATGCGACGTCAGCAGAGACCAAGATTGTGTGTACTGCTCCGAGGTTACGCCGAGTTATTCCGCTACGACGGAAAGCCCGTGATGTACCACGTCGCTCTTGAAAGCCGGCCAAAAGACCTCGGCAGACCACCGCTTGAGGATCTCTAGTGCAATGACGATCTGTATGACGCCAAACTCGGTCGATGTTGTCCCGATGTCGATCTCGGTCAGCAACACAGCCTTGGACCCTTGCCGGACTGTGGCGACAAATCGCCACCGGTGGCCATGGACGATGATGCCGGGCAAGAACTCGAGGGCTGGGCATGGCGGAAGGCCGTGTTGCGTGTAGCTGCGCCACTGGGCCGCCTGCCAGGTTCCCATCTGAAGCAGCGCGTCATCCCATTGCCCGCCGGGACGCTTAGTCTCGATGGAGACGGCAATCGGGCAGCAACATAGGTTCCCCTGCACCGAGTGGTTGATCGAGTTGCCAAAGCGGTATCTGCAGAGCAGTTCCATCTTCTCCCGCTCCTCGGCCTCTTCGGCCAGATTTTCAGGCCGAACTACGAGACAGAAGTCGATGCTCTTGGACGGTGCCCCCTTGGGCTTGAAGCGAGAGAGGATATCGGCCGTAGGACTGTACGTCGAGGTGAGCAATGGCTTCCACTGGCTTCCACCGACAATGGATGGAGAGAGAGAGAGAGAGAGAGAGTGGGGGAAATACCAGGTTTCTGCGTCCACAAGGCCCTCGTCGTCAAAAACAAAAGCAAACAGGCCGTGGTGTACGTCGGCGTTCCAGGCGTACTCGTCCTTGCGGCGGACGTCGCAATCCGTGGCCTTGGAGATAGTCTTGTTGATGAGGGAAAGCGGGGGGGTGCGCCATTGCTGCACTGCTTCTGCCTCCTGGGGCATGTAGGCAGACGGAGGGATCGATGCATCCTCGGCGGGGTAGGAAAGATGAGAGAACTGTTTATTACAAAGCCAACGTTAGCGGTCAATGCTTGTGACTAATTACACCGGCCCCTGGTGGGAACAGTGCTGGTTGGGAGTGGGCGGCTCTAACCTCGTCTCGGCACCGCTCCGGCAACAGATGTACGCCCAGGCTGACCTGGTTCAAGCGGGCCTTGAGGTCGCGGAGGGATTTCGGCAGCGGCTGGATCTTGTCGGCGGGTTTGTTGTGTGCCTGATTGATTTTCCTGACGGTGAACCCGTCCTCCCACAGCTCTGCGTGTCTGAACTGTTTCGTCGGAGACGACTTGCGGGTCACGCTCGAGAGGGACGATGCTCGCGAAGGCAAGGACGGCGTCGCCCCCCAATCGTCCGAGGCGGCAAATGACGCGTACGAGCGAGGGGCCTTGGGCGTACGGTCGTCTGGCTGCGTGCCTCCGTGCCGCTGAGGGTCAACGCTGTCGTTCGTATATTCGGCCGGTAGCGGACGCTTACCCGGCGATGCCATAATGAGACACGAGGGGCGGCGGTTCGGGAGGTGATTTGATGTTTGATCTGCGGAAACGGCGTCGTCCTCCTTGAGATGCCTGTGACAGGCCGCGGATGCAGGAGGAGACGGGAAGGGATTGTCGTCGTCGACCGAAGGTTGCGACACCGAGGTCTGAGAGATTCGCCTGCGCTTGTGGGAGCGCTCGTTTGGGGAAGTGTCAGAGGGACGGGTCGAATGGGCCGAGGAGAAATCGTGGGGGTGGTGGTCTTGGATTGAGGCCAGCCAGCTCAGCACGCATTTACTCGGTCGGAAGACTTCCGACGAAGTCATTGGTATTCGTTGAGGGCGGAGATGCCAGGATCAAATGATGCGAGATTTCACATATCCCTCTCTCTCCAACAGGGGAACCAAGCGGGTTGTTGTAGTTTGGTTTGCAGAGGCTGATTAGGCGACAAGTAAGATGCTGACAATGTTGAAGGTGACGATGATGACGGAAAGAAAACACGCGCGCAGGGATTGCGGTTGGGCCGGTTGCGCGGGGTGACCTCGTTGTACCGTGCGCGTGGACTAAGGCCAGTGGCTGAAGCGTAGTGTGGCGCGGCTGGGCAGCTTTTAGGTGTGGCAGCTGTTTAGGTACGTACTGCTGCGACCGCTGCAACGCTTCAACTGCCGTTACGCTGTAATTGCTGTGAAGCTGCCAGTGGACTTTTGGTATCTTGCCAGTGGGTTAAGCCTAGTTAGGAAACACGTTATGTCAGCACCCGCCAAAAATCGCCCACAACAGCATTTGACTTATCTAACCAATGAGAGGGCCACAGCGCTGGATCAGCCCAGCGTCGGATTAACCCAGCGTCGGATTAGCCCAGCGTCGGATTAACCCAGCGTTGGATTAACACGGCGTTGGATTAACCTAGCGCTGGATTAACCTAGCGTTAGCCTAAATTAATCCGGCCTATATTACTTATACTGCCTAGGCAGTAGCTGCAGTAGTAGTTATAGCATTAATTACTAGCAAAGTTATTACTACTGCTAGGTTAAAAGGGCTGGTTGTTGTTACTGCTGTTACATCATAGGCGTCTATTAGTAATAGTAGATTTACAGCAAAAAGGGCGTTTTTTACATAGGCTATAGACTACAGCAGCAGCAGTAGTAGCAGTAGTAGTATTACCTAGCTAACTAGGTTTAACCTACTAGTAAAATACTAAAAGTATACTATTAATTTACCTATAACTATTAAATAAGGCCTATATAGTAAATAGCCTTAGGGTACCTTTATACTAAAGACTAAGTATAAAGTATATTATATATAGCTAGGCCTAAAAGTAGTAGTATACTTTTAATTATTTATAAATAAAAGTAATAAAAATACTTATTATTTACTATATACTAAAAGTTTAACTAGCTATTATTTTATATAATAAAAAACTAATTATATATACTTTAGTTTCTTTAGTTTTAGTTAATTATATATTTATTTAATAATAATATTTAAAGCTTTTATTACTAGTACTTAAAGTAGCTTAAAGATTTAATAGTTAATAGTATAAAAGTTATAGTAGTTAATCTAGGAATAGTCTCTTAAGTAGTACTCCTAGGTTACTATTATAGGACAAGTGCCTTATATAGTAGATAGGCAGGTAGGACATAGGATTACCTTATTAGTATATATCTAGGTATATACCTAGGGGTATATATCCTATTACCTATTTCCTCTTATAAGGAAAGGCAACCTTAATAGACAACCTACACTTATACCTAGCTCTTGTCCTATATTATTTATTTAGCTCCTTATTATTATTTACCTTATTTTACTACTTTACTATTATACTTTATCTTTATACTATATTACTTTATATTACCTATTATAGCCTTACTCCTTCTATTAGATTTATAATAGCTAGTAAAAAGGCTATATTAAGTAGTAGTATAACTACCTTAATTTACACCTTTAAAAAAAATTTTTACTAAGATATAGTAAAGATACCTCTTTACTTTAATAAGAACTAGCTTATAGAAATAGTATACTAAGGCTAGTATAACTAGGCTAAATTACTAATATATAGTGTATATATATATAACGTATATATATAGTAAGTAGTATATTATAGTAAGTAGTATATATCTACCTTATTTCTACTAGCTTTATCCTTATATTAACCTTTCTCTATGTACAACAATAGAATCCTCTTCTTAAGAAAGCTAAATTATCTTTGTAATTATAGCTATCTAAAAAGACTAAAATTTATCTGTACAAAAGGCAGCCTTTATCTATAATGTGCCTAAAACTACACTCTGTTATTAACGCACTAGAAAAGTTATATAAGCTAAGATATATTTAAAATTAATAAAGATAACTATATCTAAAGAGGAGGTAATTCTTAAAAGGGTTATTAACTTAATTAATTAAGGATTTCCTTTGTAATAAGAAGATATATAAGATATAGCTAATTAACTCCTTAATATATACAACAGGACATATATTAGACCTTAATAGGCAGAGAACTTTATATAATAACAACCTTAATTAAAAATATAATTTTAACGTTAGATTAACTATTAGAGGGCCTTAGCTAAGAATCCTATGATTATATAAGGCTAGTTTACACTTATATAAAACATAATTATAAAGTATAAGATATAGGATTATAATATCTATAATTTTAATAAGACTAGGTTCCTAATAGGAATACTGTTGTATATAAAGGTTGTTATAACTTCTAACTAACGTAGAAGGCCTTGTATAAAGTAGCCTAGTAATTATAAATAGGTTTCTATTATTTAGGGTGTATATATAGATAGCTAAGTAATACCTCTATATATTATTATAAAAGGTAAATATTACCTTCTATTATAGTACCTTAATAGTAAATTTCTAGCTATATAGTGTATTTACTTAAGTAAAAATAGATAAACTATAAACAAGATTAGCCTAGATTAGCTAAAGCACTTTAATTAGTATATAAAGTCTTATATAAAGGGTACTTATTGCCTTCTAATCCTAGATAGCTATAATAGCTATAAATTAACTAAATTTAATAACTACTATAAGGAAAAAGGTATTATTACTTTATATATACCTCCTTATTTATTATATAAGCTTTAGCCTCTTAATATTAGCTATTTTAGCCCTTTAAAGCACTTATATAGTAAAAAAATTAAGAAAATAATATAGATGTAAATTATATATATTACTAAGGATAACTTCTTTTTTACTTTTAAAGTAGTATTCTTTACTTTAATAAGTAAAATAAACATATAAGTAAGTTTCTAATAGGCTAGTCTTGTACCTTTTAATCCTAAAGTTATTATTTTTTGCCTAGATTTTAAGCTAAAGACACTAACACTAGTTAACTTATGTCTAACTAGCTTAGGCTTATAGGACCTAAAGACACTAATAACAGTAATTAAAGGCATATAAAGCTTTACCTTATTAAAAAAAAGGATTAGGGACTATTAAAGAAGTTTACTAACACTAATATATAAGGTAATTAACTTATAGTTAAAGGGTATTAGTAAGTTAGTATATTAACTTACTATTATTAAGGCAGAGAACTATTAACTTTATATAGGGATAAAGGTACTTAGTAAGCGCTAGAGGGCTAAAAAGACCTAACTATGTCTTAGAGGATTACTTAATATAGCTAAAGTAGAGGCACTATAAGGAGAAAAGGACATTATTAAAGCTAGAGGTAAGGAAATATCCTAAAAGGGGGGTTATACAGAGAGTAGTAAACCACTTGCATAATAATATAGTAATTATAGGAAGACTAGATATAACGTATAAACCTATAAGGTAGTTTAGGATACTAATAAAGAATAAGGTGATATGTATTTTTAATTAATTTTGTATAATCTAGTTGAATTAAGTTATTAAAAAGATAGAAAGGTAGGTAGATGTATACTACTTACTATAATGCACTACTTACTATGTATATACATTAGCTTTAGTAAAATCTAAACTATAAAGTTACTTATTTTCTACTATAGAGCCTTTATAATAATATATATACCTTTATATTTATAAAATTTAATAGTAATAGGCTATTTTATAAAATAATAAACTAGTAAAAAAGGTTTAAACTAGATAGTAGTAATATAGTTAATCTATATTAGATAAAATTAAATATCTAGATAATAAAAGAAATTATTAAGAATATAAGAAAATATCTAGACCTATATATATAGCTTTATATAAAAGCTATAGATATTTTACTATTTTATATTAACTTATAAACCTCTTAGTTATTAAGAAACCTAGTTATACTAGAAGAATATATAACTAAGTAAGTACTAGATACTTCCTAAAAAATCCCTCCTTAATAAACTAACTTAAATAAAGATATTATAATAAGTAAGGCCTTTACCTAAAGTAAAAATATTTTACTAGATAGTATATTACTAAAGTAAATAAAAAGTATAGTAATATTATAGTAATTACTAAAAGACAAAGGACTAGAAATTATAGGCCTACTAGGCTTCTATACTAGCTTACTAGTAGATTTTACTAAGAAAAGTAGACTACTAGTTTATTCTTAATAACACTTATACTTTATACTAGGTTAATTTCTAGCTAGTGTAAGTAACTACTTATATAGCCTAGACCTACTAGGGTTTTAGCCTATATAGGCCTAGATAATATAAGCCTTTTACTTATCTTATAAAGTATATTAATAACCTTTACTATTAAGATAAATAATATATATACTACCTATAGCCTAAGGACTACTAGTAGTATACTTATTTTCTTAGGAGAACTACCTAAGTAAACTACTAAGTACTACTTACCCTTTTATATACTTAATACTATTAGACTTAATAGTTAAGTAGACTTAAGAACTACTACCTCTAAGTTAACTAGTAATTAACTTTATATAGTAAAGATAAGCGTTAGCCTTAATAATACTTTTTACTATAGGCCTAATACTACTAATAAATATAAATAAGTTTATAGTAGCCTTCTTTTATACTATAGTAGCTTAAATATAGTAGGCTAAGACTTTATTAGGTTCTATAATTAG